AAATTTGCACCAAACACGTTTTTAACACCCGTTTTCATTTTTTTGCTTTGAAAACCGTGAAAAACGAAAATGAAAACATAAGCAAACAGGCCCTTTGAACTTTTCAAAGGTTTCGGATTTCTTTTGCATTAGGTATGCATATCCGAATCTCAAATGATCATCAATAAATGTGACGAAGTATTCATAGCCTCCCCTCGCTTTGACATTCAAAGGACCACATACATCGGAATGTATGATTTCAAGGGGTGTCTTTGCTCTTTCACCCTTTGCAGAAAATGGCCTCTTGGTCATTTTTCCTTCTAGACAGGATTCATAAACCGGTAGAGTGCCAACCTTTAGCTCTCTCAATGGACCATCCTTTGCTAGTCTTTCAATCCTATCTATGTTTATATGACCTAGCCTTAGATGCCACAGTATGTTTCATTTTCGTTAGAAAACTTTCTTTTTTTAGGGGTTGGTTCAGCGACTTTGAACATTTCGGTTTGTAGCATTTCATTGAATATGGGTTTAACAAAGTAAAGACCATCATCAACAAAACCAAAACAAATTTGAATTCCATTCATAGATAAAGATACAGAGTCAATATCAAAAGAAACTGAAATAAATTGTTCATGCAATCTAGAAACTGAAAGTAAATTCCGTTTGAAATTTGGAATAAAATAAACATTGTCTAACAATAAATATTTATCATTTGCAAAAGATAGTCGCACTGTCCCTACTGCCGTCACTGAGATCCTTGCCCTATTGCCCACTCTCATCTGGAAAGATCCCTCTTCAAGATCCCTAGACGTTTCCAGCATCTGCAAAGAAGTACAAACATGATTAGATGCTCCTGAATCAACTATCCAGGTAGAGAAGTCATTCTCAACTAAACATGTTTCCATGACCAGCAAATCTGATTTACCTTGCTTCTTCACTTTCAGCTCATCGAGGTACTTTTTGCAGTTCCTCTTCCAATGGCCATCCTGGTTGCAGTGGAAACACTTTCCCTTAGACTTTGGAGCAGCCTTATTCTGCTTGTTCTTCTGGATCTTCTTCTTCCATTTTCCCTTATTGTTCCCTTGATTCTTCTTCTTCTTATTCTTTGATGAAGAAGGCCTCCCCTCAGCTGCGTTGGCTTCAACAATGTTTGCCTTGCCTCCTTTATCACCTATAAGGGACTTAAATTGTTGCAGCTCATTCAGGAGCTCAGTTAAGTTATCATTCTTTTGGTTCATCAGATAACTTGTCCTGAATGGAAGGAAATCAGGAGAAAGTGTCTCTAGTATCATGCCAACCTGGGTCTTATCATCAATCTGAGACCCATTAATTTTAGCCTCATTAAGATGATTAATCATCTTAAGCACATGCTCATGTACAGAAGAACCATTCTTCATACGACTGTTCATAACGGATTTGACAGCAGCGTGTCGTGCTGAATCAGATGGACGTCCAAACATCCTCTGAAGAGTGTCCATGATCTCTCTAGCAATCGCAAGGCCTTCGTGCTGAGTTCTCAGCACTTCATTCATTGCTGCGAACAGGCAACAACGTGCCTTGTTCGAGGCGTTGATCCAGCGATCATATCGCTCGGTCAAAGCCCTGGCGGCATTGGTTGGAGGCACTGGAGGACAATCCTCCTTAAGGACAAAATGGTAGTTTTCACAGATCAAGAGGATATTCATGTTGCTTTTCCATTTGACACAGTTTTCACCATTCAAAATTTGGGAAGCGAGAAGCGCGAAAATAGGATTTGACATTTTTGCTGAAAATAAAGAATTTAACTCAATCAACATTTTGCATAAATATCACTACTAAATTTAAGGCATATAAATATGATGCATGAATGCACATGTTAAATACACAAATACATGTTTAATTGCCTAAGGAATTTTAATCACCACAATTAAGTGCCGCCGTAGGGTAGGTCAAATAATTGCTAATTAAAATGAGACTATCTCAATTAATAAATACTATATGAAATATCTCATACTTCTAATATTTATTAATTTCCTTTTATTTAGGTCAAGAAAATAATTAACCAATTTAATTATCTCTTTATGAGTGTAACCCACCGCTTCACATCTTTTAGACTTAACTTTGAAGTTGCTGCTGTAGGGTAGGTCAATTCTAAAATACATTTTAGAGATTCTATCTCTTTGGAAGTCAACCTTGTTATTATAATTAATGAATACCCTCCGTAGGGAGGACGAAATCAAAGCGTCTCGGGGCCTTATTAATTACTCACAGTGTTGTACTAACGGTGGAGACCTATGAGTTATATTGTCATATTACCTGCTCCCACTCATTATTTACAAATGGTGTATTTATTTTATAAAACAACTCTTGCTTTATACTTCTCAGTGAATTTAAACAATTTAAGTTACTAAGATCCAAAAAAAATTTTAAACAACTTTAAAATTATTTTAAGTCATTTGTGAATTTTAAAATTTAACATTTGACTCATATAAATTTTTGCAAGAACCATTTGCTAATTTATTTAAATTTAATCTCATTAAATTTAACAACTTTAAATTTAATCTTATTAAATTTAATAACTTTGAATTTAATCTCATTAACCTCAACAATTTGGCGCATTTAATTAATTTAATTTACTAAAACAATTTTAGAATTAAAACATATAATTAATGCGTATGATGCATGTCATACATATAAACTAGGTAGGCATTTTTATCCTAGAGATGGCATGTTAGATGCATGATAATACAATTATTATCAAACATAATAAATAAATAAATAAAATGCAAGCGAAATGGAAAAACTTGGCCGGGTTCCATGGACCTAAGAATTACAACCCTAAAATAATAATAAAAATAAAATTACATAAAAAATAGGTCTTCTTGTAATCCTCCATCTTCAAATATTCTCCATCTTGATGTCTCCTTTTTTTTTTTTTTTGATAGTTTGGAACTTTTCCAAAAACAAATAGTTGAAACTCTTCCATGATGATCCTCTTGCGTTAAGAGAATAATAAATTACATATTGATTCCTATTTTACCATTGATCTAATCAAAATAAAATAGTAAAAACTAATTCCATGGAACCGGAAAAATTTACGACCAGTCCATTCGCATAAAATATAACCATCACACAATAATTATACATCATATGCAAAAGTGCCTACCCTTTAAACATCTAAGAATTATCACATAATTTAAACGTTAAATTAGCATGAAATAAAAATCACTCTGATACCAATTGTTGGTTTCTCAAACCGGATTTTCAAAAAAAATTGTGCGGAAGCGTGGTATCGATCGAATCACATAAATCAAAATTTAATACAATCATTATTTCATGTTAATTTAACTACAAAGATATTAAAGAAAGGAATGAGGATTTGACCGTCGTTCGATTAGGACGAAAATCTTGAACTCCTCCAACACCGTCTTGAACTCTTAAATTCCAAGAACACCACGGTTCTTTCTCAATGTATCTCCGGATTAACGTGAACTCGAATGTGTGGGCGTTCTAATGGGTTTCTCAACACATGAGATGGATGAATAGAGAAGCCACCTATAGTTATCACTCACTTTTCTCAAAAGTATATGATGACACTCAAGAAATTTTTTTTTTGATTTTCTTTTGTTCTCCCGTTCTTTTCTTTTTCTTTCTTTCTGTTCTCTGGAAAAAACTTTTTCGTTTCTCTCTTATGAACAGCATTCATTCCCATTTTGAGTAAATGTGCAACCGTACATTTACTCCATTTCCTCAGGTGAGGAAACGTGCAACAGCACGTTTCCTCCCACTCCCTTTTTCTTTTCTTTTCTTTTTCTTTCTTTCTGTTCTCTGGAAAAAACTTTTTCGTTTCTCTCTTATGAACAGCATTCATTCCCATTTTGAGTAAATGTGCAACCGTACATTTACTCCATTTCCTCAGGTGAGGAAACGTGCAACAGCACGTTTCCTCCCACTCCCTTTTTCTTTTCTTTTCTTTTCTTTTTTTTTTTTGAGGAAAC